CTTTGCTTCAACGTTGTATCCAAAACGATGACCCCATTTCAGCAATGGGTCTTCACTCTGAGATCCTGAAGAGAGGTAACTGCTTAGACTTATTTGCCACCAACATTCTTTTGAATATGTATGTTAAAGCTCAATTATTGTCCGAGGCGGAAATTCTGTTCGATGAAATGCCGGAGAGAAACACGATTTCTTTTGTTACTTTGATTCAAGGGTACACGCAGAGTTTGCAATTTGTTGAAGCTGTCGGGTTGTTTACTAGGTTACATGGGGAAGGTCATGAGCTTAACCCATTTGTTTTTACTTCGATATTGAAGGTGCTTGTCAGCATGGAATGGGCTGAGTTGGGTTGGAACTTTCATGCTTGCATTTATAAGCTTGGCCATGAATCGAATGCCTTTGTTGGAACTGCTTTAATTGACGCATATTCTGTTTGTGGGTGTGTTGATTTCGCAAGAGAAGTTTTTGATGGGGTTAGATGCAAAGATATGGTTACTTGGACTGGAATGGTGGCATGTTATGCGGAGAATGATTTTTTTGAAGAGGCATTGCAGGTTTTTTCTCAAATGAGGTTGATTGGTTTCAAGCCAAACAATTTCACTTTTGCTGGTGTTTTTAAGGCTTGTGTTGGACTTGAGGCATTTGATGTTGCTAAAGGTGTTCATGGGTGCGTTTTAAAAGCTCGTTATGAGCTTGATATCTATGTAGGAGTTGCATTGCTTGAATTATATACCAAGTCCGGGAACATTGGCAATGCTCAACGAGTTTTTGAGGAGATACCTAAAAAAGATGTTATTCCTTGGAGTTTCATGATTTCACGGTTTGCACAGAGTAACCAGAGTGAAGTGGCTGTTAGTCTGTTTTGTCGAATGAGGCGAGCTTTTGTGGTACCTAATCAATTCACATTTGCTAGTGCGCTTCAAGCTTGTGCAACTTTGGGGGATATTGAGTTCGGGAAGCAAATGCATGGTCTTGTGCTCAAGGTTGGTCTTGCCTTAGATGTGTTTGTATCAAATGCCCTTATGGATGTCTATGCTAAGTGTGGAAGGATTGAGGATTCAATGCAACTGTTTGAGAAATCAATAAATAGGAACGATGTGTCTTGGAACACCATGATTGTTGGCTACGTTCACTGTGGGGATGCTGTGAAGGCATTGGGTTTGTTCTTGGAAATGCTTGAAAACCGATTACTTGCAACTGAAGTAACATACTCCAGCGTCCTTTGTGCTTCTGCCAGTTTGGCAGCATTGGAGCTAGGAACTCAAATTCACTCGTTAGCTATCAAAACAAATTATGCCAAGAACACTATAGTTGATAATGCTTTGATTGATATGTATTCCAAGTGTGGAAGAATCAGAGATGCTCGTCTAGTGTTTGACATAATGAATGAACGAGATGAAGTTTCATGGAATGCTATGATCTCTGGGTATTCTATGCATGGGCTAGGTATAGAGGCTTTAAAAATATTTCAGATGATGCAAGACAGAGGGTATAAACCAAACACTTTAACTTTTGTTGGTGTGCTATCAGCATGTAGCAACTCAGGACTATTTGACCAAGGACAAGATTATTTTACATCTATGTTTCAAGATTATGGCATTGAGCCATGCATTGAGCATTATTCTTGTATGGTCTGGCTTTTGGGGAGGTCAGGTCATCTTTACAAGGCTGCCAAGTTGATTGAGGAAATCCCATTTGAGCCTAGTGTTATGTTGTGGCGTGCCTTGCTCGGAGCTTGTATCATTCATAATAATGTTGAGCTTGGGAGATTGTCTGCCCAACGCATTCTTGAGATGGAACCTCGAGATGAAGCAACCCATGTGCTATTGTCGAACATGTATGCTATTGCAAGGAGATGGGAGAATGTCAGTGCCATTAGGCAAAGTATGAAAAAGAAAGGAATGAAGAAGGAACCTGGTTTGAGTTGGGTTGAGAACCATGGGAGAGTACATTATTTCAGTGTTGGTGACACTTCTCATCCTGACATGAAGGTGATAAATGGGATCTTGGAATGGTTGAACATGCGAACAAGGAGGGCAGGCTTTGTTCCTAATTGTCACGCCGTTTTGCTTCATGTAGAGGATAAAGAAAAGGAACGTCTCTTGTGGGTACACAGTGAAAGGTTAGCTCTGGCTTTTGCAATGTTTAGAACACCATCTGGAAGCCAAATCCGTATAATTAAGAACCTCCGAATATGTGTGGATTGCCATGCTGCAATGAAACTAATATCAAAGATTGTGCAGCGAGATATTATTATCAGAGATATGAATCGATTTCATCACTTTCAGGATGGAATTTGCTCTTGTGGTGATTACTGGTAATTGATGTGTCTCTATGAGATCAAGCAATCTTGGAGGGCTGGAGTTTTAATCTTCTCTAAGAAATTCATATTAATTGAGGCTTTCTGCGGTTGCTGCCTTTATGTCAGCCCAACTCAGCAAACAATTATGTAAGTATAACAGTTCTGTGCCCTAAATTTAATTGCTATTTTGCTTGGCAAGTGACAACATATGTCAATTTGGGGGAAAATAAGGGAAGAGAAAAATAGTTTTAACTCCAATGTGGTGCAGTTGAGTTACATACATCAAAACTTGTTCCTTTACATTGAACATTCCATTTAAGTTTCTTCAAATCATTGCTCCAATTATTCCCAAGAGATGGATTCCTGAAATGGAGATTTTTTGGATGATCAAAATTTATCTTTCCTTTTACCCTAGTCCTGCCCATCCCCTAACAAATGAAAAAGGTGTTAAAAAAAGGTGCTTACTGATAATTTTTGCTTCACTAATTTCTGCTCCAGTTTGTGCTTTCAATTAACTGCATCAGATGATTGAGATGTTTCAGAGGACAGATTATCATTTTGATTCTATCACCCTAATATTATAAGTCCTAATATCCGTATTTACTCTAAATGTTCTTGCAGTTTAGCATTTTCTGTGACCAATTGACCATTACTCCAGCCAATAAAATGAATTGCAAAAGGTTTGAAGGTATGGCTTTACCTTATATGATGACATTTTTGTTAGTTTCTGCAAATTTTCCTTGCTCAGTCTGTTTCTTGTAGAGGTTTTTGTGTGCATAAAAAACTCCTGCATTTGTGAATGGTGGCCTTTAGACTCCTAGGAGAGCAAACTATCTGCATTTCTTCTTGCATGGATGCATGACTTATCAGTAGCATCAGGTCTCTTCACCAAAGATTTCCTGTTGGCTGTATGCAATCCCAATGAAGAAGTTGTGGACATTGATAATTGCTTTCAAATTCATTCAATCGTTACTCTGACTGACCAAGAAGCTCTCTTGAGAGGACATGATTTTCTACTGCTGACATCAGCGGGTGTCACAGGAGTCGATCTACCACCGTCGATTTTCTATTGTCTGATATATCCAGAGAAGCATCATATTTTGCGAGTCTTACAACTTTTTGCTCCGTATTCATTACTATATATTACCAAATTAATACTAAAAAATGTCTTTCTATATTGATCTGTTTGTGTAAATGTTGATTTGGCTTCAATGTCAAATCTAATCTGTGAGGTTGTTGCTACAAAAGGAAGATTTGGGAAAGTTAAGCAGAGTTTCCTGCTAGTCTGTTTACTATGTTATATGCACTTCTTTATTGTGGTCTTTAAGCAGAGTTTCCTGCTAGTCTGTTTACTATGTTATATGCACTCCTTTATTGTGGTCTTTAAAGATTTCTCTTCATTTAAAGTTTCCAGTAGACATATTCTCATCTTGTCATTTGTGTCAACACTGGTTACTCCTAGGTGAGGTAAGGGGGCTTTGTATTAAACCTTCAATGTTTTTATACTACAGACTGAGATAAAAGTCCACCTTTATCAGTTCTGTCTTCACTAGGGAGGGTGTTGGTTTTTTGTTTTATTTGCAAGCCAACTAAGTGCCTGTTCGGCCCATCTTTTGGAGCCGCTTTTCTATTTAGAAAGCTCAAGCTAGCTTAAATGAGAGTTTGGACAAAACAACTTTTTAACTTTTTTATTTGTTTAAACTTAAAATGAGTTCCTGGAGACTATAAGTTGAAGCTCCAAACCTGGAGTTTCTTAAAAGAGTTGCAATGACAAGCAGATAAGCAAATTCAAAGAAAATTTTAGATAAAAATATATTATTAAGTATTTTAAGTAATTTCAATATGGTAGCACTTTTCAAAACATTCTACTTTGCCAATACATTTTATGTGGCTCTCGTCAGGCCAAGTAACTTCAAGTTAAAGAAAAAGAAAGACTTGCATTTCCTTGTAAGATAACCTTTTTCTTTATAATTAATTTTCTTCTTTTTCTTCAATTTTCAATTATGTTGGTATTTAACTATATCCTTTATCTTTGCCCCCTCTCCCTTGTCTTTATTTTATGTTGTTTTGATTCCGTAGGTTCCTTTTGATCTTAGTTCAATGTAGAAAGGAGTTTCAACAAGACCATTGTGGTCTCTTATTCCCTTGTTCGCAATATTTATTTGCAGATCTTTTGGATCTTGCCTTTACACATATTCTAACAGTCTCTTCCACTAATTTCTTCATGCTTGGATGCTTCCTTCTTTTTTTATGTGTCTTCTTTCTTTAATATAGTTCTTTTGCCCAAGACAACTTATTTCGTCAATCTTCGTAGACTTCTAGCTAAAGATCGCCGCCTATTATGACTAGGGTGGTAAGCAAGGACAATTTTGCCTTCTATTGGGTGATGCCCTACTAACGCCAATCTTTTGAACTTGTGCACGTATCTTTAGTTCTCATCATTGCGATTGCTGAAAAACATGACCAAATGCATTGTCATTTGCACTATCAAGATCTCAAACCCTTACAGGCAGTGGGATTTTTATTTTATCCAATAACTGAATCATGTTTTGACTAAGGTGATTTATTGGGCCATACTGTTATTTGCTTTCTAGGTGGCCTTGCTGATGGTCGTCTTGATATCCTTCATGCTTTATGTTTATTGAATTTCACATTTGGTTGAATGCCTTAAACTGTTATATTTTTGGTCAAGACACATAGATGCATGCACACACAATACAGATATTATAGTGAAGGTATTAAATTTATCCATAGTAAATTGTTTTGACCAAGGACTAACCTTATTCATAACCTCATCTCTCCTCCAGAGAGGAGGCAACATTTAATTTACTTCTCCCTAAACTATCATGGGAGGTCTTTAATTGTGACAACAGCATGCATACATTTACCTCCCACATCTTATGAATAGAGTCAAACACGATTTTGAGTGTATTTTCAATTTTTTTTAAATGCACAGTTCTTGAAATTCTGTTCCTTTGTCAGTCCTGTATCATTTTTCATTAAGATCAGGACCCTTAAATTATTTACTTGTTGACTTTTAAGACCCCTTCTCAATATGCATATAATGTTTTAGGTAGTATGCTGGTAGTGGATTAGCAAAAGTCATAATTGTTAGGATTAGCTTTAATTGCTCTTTATGGCCAGGCTTCTCTTAATTTCCTGCTTATGTAACTAGCATAGGAGCAGTCTGAAATTAAGGCATGCAATTCCTATTGAAACAGCCACCAGTTACTTCCTGTAGTAATGATATTACCTCCTCTATCTTATGGCTGTTGTGACTGAATTAAATTTTGCATAACCCCCAAATCCCCACTCACCTTTTTTCATTGTCCACATAGATCCTAATGATTTTATTCTTCTTTTCATCAAGCAAAAATTTTGTTATGAGAAAAGCATGTAGACAGAACGACCATTGCCAGGTCTTCCCGAGGAAAGAAACAACTAGAAGAGCCTACAGTAAATATGAAGGATCCTATACAATGAAATCAAGCATTGAAGTTGTGAACAAGTTTTGTACACAAAAATTAGCAACATCAATCAAGAAATCTAATCTAACATCCTTCATTATCTCTGACAAATTTGCCCTGATAAGTACTCTTTCTTAAAAACTTATTATTGTGCTTAAATTATATCTTGATAAGTTGTTGCTGCAAATAACCTTTTTTCTTTCTACCTAGTCCTACCAATTCACTGAATATTGAAACAGTTTCCTGATCACAATGCAGCACATGCCATTTTATTTCCCTGAACATAACCTATGCTCCCTGATTGGTAACATATATAGTTCATTATGTGTGCGATGCATGCAATATTTTCATATACAAGTGCACTTGTATATGTGAAAATTTTATTTGTGGTATTAACTTTTAAAATGATTTATTTGGGTATTCGTTTCTAGAACAATCATATTGGTTTATGAATGATTCATAATTTCTTGTACATCCTATGTGCAAGCATAGTTTAGAACTACCACAGAGTCTAGTAACTGATGTGCCGTGGTAGATAAAGTTCTTGCTTTAAGAAAACAATGGTTCATCTTACATAACAGAGAATGTGGTTTTTGATGAGATAATGCTCAAAAAATTGACAAACCAACTACTAGTTTCCTTTTCTTGCTTTATCACTGTCACTGTCACCTTGATTATATGTTCAACCATTGCAGGCTTTCTTTCAGTACTATTTGATGTTATTTAAATTTCATTTCACTGAGTACTTTTTGAGTGCTGAACTACCTTTGGATTGAATGCTGAAATGTATTAAAAGCTTGAATTTAATTTTTGTTTCTTTATTGTTTGAGTTGAACATTTGTTGCTTTGGCATGTTTCTTGGTAACATGCTGGACTTTAGTAGTAGGAACCTATCCTTGTTAGACAATATATGAAAATGACTTTTGCTTGCTTTCAAAATGAGCAAGACCAAACCAAATTGTAAGAGTTACTTATGGGAAATGGGTTTTTTATTCTTTTATTTTCTTCTTAAGGATTGTGTTTACTAGTTCATAAAAACAATGAGCTTAGTCTTGCTTTAACTCATCAATTACATCACCCTGGAAAAGTTTGATCAACTGTATGCACGACACTTTCTTTGGAATGCAACCTATAAATTTGTATATGATTAAAGCTTTGGCCTAACTGTAATGAAGGTAATCATTGTAGTGAAATACAAAACATTATTGGTGATATTTTCACTAGCTCCAGTTCAGGGACAAGTGGATTGTTTGTCCCACATTCCTGAAGCACTAATAAATAAGTTACTGGTCTAGTTGTATGTTTTAATTTTCCAGATTGGTGGTACTTGTGCAACTGCAATGTTGTGTTGTATTTTATATTTGGAAGTTATGGCCGAATGATTGAAGAGAAAGGAGCTTGGAAGGCTATGAAGATGGTTTAAAATCTCAACTATACAAGCTTGCCGCCTTCTCTATTTTTGGTGATGTGAAATCCATAAAATAACAATGTTGTTTACATGGCCAAGGAACGGATTGGCGTCTGAAATCATCTTCACACACACCACTTAAACAGAGATGAGTGGGGGCTAAGAAAACAGAACCCAGTCCCCACGTTGATAGATGGAGACACCAATTACCTACTCTTTTACATTTTCATGGAGGACAGACATTTTGGATTTCATGGTTATTCGCTGCCAGTTTTGCAATGGCCCCATATGAAGGGATGCATTGTTCAAATCTGCAGTTGATATTACGGTGGAGTACATTGATATATTTGGGAGGCTCATTGAGTGCCATGAAGACTTAGAAAACTGGTGCATGACAATTCATGGGCGAGGCCGTTGTCCTGGCAAGCACAGGAAACATCTACAATAAGAAGGCAACTCCAGTGAAGGATATTTCTGTTCTTTTCTTGTTAGAGGAAAACTGTTTTATACTATGGTTTTGGACGTTGTAGTATAGGATGTGCATCGCAGTTTTAGGTGGTACTGGTACCATACCTATACAATGTAAGGAGAGTTCAGTGGCAATGGGACCTATTCTTTTTGTTGTCAGTATTATTAAGTTCTCGCTTTCTTTCCTGGGTCTCTGTTACCCACAGTGGTGGCAGTTGTATTCCGTTTCTTGATTTTTAAATTTAGCCTAGTGCGAGGGGTTCGATATCTGGTGCCTGGTGAACTTACACTTGTTAAAGGAAGTGGATTAGTATGAATCAAGAAATGTCATGGAAAAAAGTTGCAATAAATCTCAGGCGGCCCGCTGTAAGCATGATAAGACCGGCCCCCTTTGAACAAGTCTTTGGATATGACTCGTTGTGGTTGGACCTGTTTCCATTGGAAAAGGGCAAACTTTGTTTGGGTCTGAGCACTGCCCTCCCCCCACCCAGCCCTTCTGGGACTCTAATATATTATCCTTCCAAAAAAATAAAAAAGGCATGTCGGCTTTCCAAATTGATAAGATTTTATCTCTATTTCCTTGTGTCGCCACATAGCTTCACAAATAAACCATCCTTTAGGTATCCGGAGCCTTTCTTTTTCTTAGAAACTAAAAGAAAAAACAAAACAAAGAAGAAAGGAGGATTGCATACACATCATCATAAATACTAGTACTAGTATAAAAATAAAATAGGACATGGAGCTAATGGGGTGATAGGTAGAAGAGGGTAAGAAAGGGTATCCATGTATCAGGGCCACCTGCGCCCACCATCACCTAGAGCTAAGCCTAAAGGCACCGGAGTGAATTAGCTAGTATCACAGTGGTAATTAAGAACAGTCTTTGTTCCCACAGGCGGATTACATAACCAAATAAGCCCTTGCATTTCTTGAGGCCTTAAACAATTCAAATTTGTATGAAAGCGGATTAATTTAATTTGAGGCAGA